ACCTGAACAAACATTTCGCCATTTAGAATGGTTTTTGCGGAAAATGGGGCATTCTCTTACGAGACTTAATGATCATTCAATTGAAACAGTAATACCGCATAATAACTGATAGTGAGTAAGATGTGATATGTTTACTTCGTTCATTTATCAGTTCTGATAATATTGATAACGAAGGAAATAACGAAAGAAACAATAGAATAACAAAGGAAACTTCTAAAGACCTGAACGAGAAACTGAATTTGAAACTGACCAGAAATTTGTTCCGGATCCTTCTTGATATCAGCAATCGCTGCCAACGGTAGTCCCCAGTTGGCGAGTGGACCCCAAAAATGAGTTGACATGAAGTAGTCAAGCCATTCTTTACGCGTTGAACGCATAAAGTAGGCTGTGACTGCTTTCGCTGCCTCCACGACCGTCATACTGAAATTAATTTCAGTATTCATCGTTGTCCTCGATCGAAGTTTATCATCGAAGTCGATCGATGACAACTCGATGAAACATTCATATTTGTGATCAACGAACAGTCATTGTTTCATGACTCAACATATGCATTACGATTCAACATTCAATAAATATATTTTCATTGCATCTTTATTCTTAGTGAATGAACGTTGTTGTTGGAGAGAATGAACAGACAATTTTTTTTAAATAATGCGCTTCCACAAGTTTTAGATGTGTGCTCTTTTGACTGGTTATCCGTTGAGCGTTTGAATCCTCATCGATTGAATCGTGAAAATTCGTGAAACTGACTGCTTATAATTATTTAAAAAAAATTGAATACTAAATTCAAAAATCCGGAAGACATCCCATCAAAACCTTCAAGGTTCTGCCGAGCCAAACAAAACTGCAGAAAACGAGCCCATTCGACTGAACAAATAGGAAATGAGAGTAATCTCGATCAAACAGCACTTCAAGTGAGTATGTGAGGATAATGGGTGAAAAATAATGGGAAAAATCAAATGGAATTATGGGCAGCCAGCCACCTGTTGAGCAGTTGTGTTGAGGGATATTGCTGAAACACTGGAAAAAAAGGAAGCCATCAAAAGTATTTATGAATCGAAAAAATAACTCGAACCGAATGACTGATCATCGAAATATCGAAATGTTTTCGACAAAATTTCGTCACAAAACAAACCTCGAAACTTTCCTCACTCTTTCACAATATTCATTTTGATTGATGCATAAAAAGTGATGGGCAGCGACTAAAGCAAAGTGAAAAAAATGGTATTGAGCACAGACGAGTGCCCTTAGGAAAATCTTTCTGAATTCGAAATTCCTTCATTCTCTTTCTTTCAGAACTTCATCCTTCATTCTTCGAACTTCAATTGTTACTGTATATCGTCAGAAAATTGCAATTTTATGCAATTTCACCAGTAAACTTGAAATGCTATCGATTAGCACTTCAGTTCACTTATCCTGTTTTGATAATCACCACCTTATTCAGTTCGTTATCAGTGAATTATTGATGAGAGCGAATGTTCATCGATGCAGGTGACTGACAATGAAATAAACCACTATTACGTAGGATAATCATTATGTACGAAGTGTGGAAACTGACCAATTTAAAAATTTTAGCATAAAACTTTGTAACTTCTCTAGAGAACGTTTGAAGCGATTCAGCTCTGTTCCACGAAATCACGTTGATTATTTGTACAAAATACGGAATCGCGGTTATTAAAGAAGTACAGAATTGCGATTAAAAATTTGAATATTTCCAAATGCATCACTCACATATGCCAATATTTAAGTACACAAATAAAACCAACCAACATTTTCACAAAAGATGTTGCAATTGTCTTGTATGATGATCTATTCATTTATTTATCTATTTGCTTGAAAGAAGTAAACGAGTTAATTATACTGACAACGGAATGGTGAATATAGAGTCAAATGGTCTGAAATATATGAATAAATCTCTCCCCAACTAATGCTGATGTGAGNAGAATTATTCATATAATTCAGACCATTTGAAAAGTGGTAATTACCAATCTCAGAAAATCTCTTTCTAATAATAATGAACACGTTTTAATACTGAAAACAGATTAAAATGCTTTCTTCACGTTGAAATTGAACACAGCAAGATTTGTTCGAGAAATCAAATCTATGCAGGTGTACGTAAAACAACTCCAATACCGTAGAAAAGCATCGTATTACGTATGGCAGATGGCATGACCAGTCAATTTGAAGTCTGCTGAATGTGTTGAATGAATCTTGAAGATGAGATTTATAAGTAAATAACTGCTTCAAAATGCCGATGCTAGGATAGAATTCAGAAACGAACTCTCGATGAACGTCAAAAATTGATGCTCGATTGAGGCACGTAAGGTGAAAAAAAATTGACTAGCAGTTGTTCGACAATTCATTTGAAAAAAAAACTGAAAGCAGTTGGTGATCACGTGAATACAATCAGTCATTTGTGTTTCTGAATAGCCGTCTGAATATTTTAAACTCATTTTCATCAGCTTTCGAATATTTCTTCTGTTGATAGACAACCAAAATGAACAATTGCTTTTAACGGGCGAAATTTTTGCAGATTGAACTCAGTTATCATTCAAATATCATTTGAAACGAACATTCAATTTGATTTCTGAACATCCCTTTCCTCAGGTTCTTTTTACCACTAGAATGTCTGGTTGGTTTCCGTATTTAGGTGGAACTTTCTCAGGTGGTTAGTTTTATTTGATGTTGTTGTTCGTTAATCCAACTATCACCATCATTACCTGGATTACCTGGATTGGCCAAGCTATCAAACGTTTGTAACGTTGCNGGCCACAATGCTCGCGTTTGCGTGCACATTGTTTTAGCCTCAATTTACGCCACCCCACTGGCTGGGCAAGCAGGCCAACCGAACACAGCCGAGTAATTAATTAGTTGCCGTGAATACTTTGCACAATTAATCGTAGCCAAATATCAATCCAATAAATAATCATAACTCTAATAGAATAAATATCCCGCCGATCGCTCCAGCGATTGCCAAAACAACCACTCGATGTCCAAGTAACAATAATAACAAAACGACAATAATCACCATCATAATTAAATCAAATTTCGTGCGCTAGATCAAATATCTGAAACACATTACTGTGGTGTTGCCGTGAGTTTCGTACTATTATCACCAGTTTCTTATATAAAATGAACTCCTAATTTGGTATGGAATCATTATCTTTTCACCTCACAACGAATACTGGATAATCGAGGAGCTGCATTTTTTTGGAACCAAATTTCACTCATTCCATAATTTGCCGACTCGACGGAGTATATGAATTAGAGAAATCAGAAAAATTGAATATAAGATTAAAAATTTGGAATTCAGCAAAGACAAGCAAAAAATGATGTTAAAAATCATCATTCAGTGGAGAATATGAATGAAAAAATTGAAACGAATGTGTCACTCTAATCGTTATCACTTTCGATTTGATCATACAAATTAATTTACTTCATAGTTGCATTATTTTAAACTTTAAAGGTGTTGTGTCATTGATTGAATGAATAAATGAAGAAATTATAAACTGAAAAATAGTTTCTTATGAACGTTTTTAACTCCATTCACTGTGCAAGTTGCACTGACTCTGTTAACTGCTTATGTATTGTGAGCATTGTCTGCCTTTCAAACTGTCACGCTGAAAACACTTTGCCGACGATGAACGAAATAAGATTTTTTCGCTTTTCCCAATAGAAGGGATTTTTCTATTACGCAAAAGCGTTTTTTTTTTCACTTGATTCAAATCGAGATCATTATATTACATTATATTACATCTTACTTCAATAGAACATAAATCTTTTGATGTTTCTTGATGCATCCACTTCAAACGGAGTACTTGAAATGACTTCCAAATCCTTTATTCAACTAACATCATCCACAAATATCTTTAGAAAGTTGAAAGATGAGTGATTTCAAGAATCTGATATCTTTTATTAAGGCTAACAAGAATCGATATCAATCGGCCAGGATAATCTA